TCGATAAATATTTATCGCGACTGAAGGGAACATTGTTTTGCATCGTGATAAACCATACAGATAACGCGGTAATAACTGACATCGCGATCTATCAGAACCGTCTGATAGATCGCGATCTAGAATTCATTTCGATAAACAATGTAGATATCGCGATATGTACCATGATCAACGCCCTTATGGCGATATATCGGCGATTTCTCGGTTTAAAAATCCTCAAGGGCTGTTCGAACGCATAGTTAACAAAAATAATGAAGGAATACAAAATACTAATATGAAAACAAAATAGTAAAAGAACATCCATGTTCCTAAATTAGACGATTAGTTATTTAATTTGGTTTTTGAAGAGTTTTCCAGAATTCTCTGTCGAATGCCACTAGTCCCAGAGTTCTATTTCTTATTTCAACTGAGTTATTTAAATTTTAAAAATAGTCGAAAATTTAAAGTTTGAAAATTAGTTTAAAAATCGACATTTATTTTGGCGAGTATACTTTTTTGCAAAATGTTCTCCTCTCGACTAGGGATGTTCGGTTCTGGAACCGATACCGCGGTTGGAACCGATACCGAAAAGAACCGCGGTTCCGGTTCTCGACTTAGAACAGAACCGCGGTTCTCGGTTCTCAGCTTAGAACCGAAAAAGAATTTTTCAAGCACTAACAATTCAACGAAATAAGATTCATTTTATAGTAAGCGAAAGGATTCTTTTAAATGATGGCAGGCACATATATCTTTTTGCAGCTTTGTCAATAGTGTGTTTTATTTTATTATAAGAAAGGCAAGACAAAAAGATAAAGCAGAAGAGAAAACGAATTATTGTTTCGCCCGTCGCTTTTGCACTTCATAAAGAAATACAAATTTGATCGTCCGTTCACAGTTAAATGGATACAGATAAATTCAAATTGTTATTAAAAAAGCAACCAAAAGAAAAATTTAATGGATTTTATAAAGCGAATGCACATTTATTGCCAAATATTCGAATGTTAGCAAAATGTGTACTATGCATTCCATGCAACAGTGTAGCTTCAGAGAGCACATTTAGTATCTCTGGAAATCTTTTACATAACAGAGGAAACATGAAACGTGACGCAGTAAAATTCTCTATGTTTTTAAAAGATAAACTATAACGTTTTTGTAAGGTGCCGGAAAGGCAAAAACGGAGCAGACGCAAAAGTGGTCGGGTTATACCTCATTCGATAGCCCTGACAATTCTGACCCATGGTCATACTAATCAGATTTCACTTTTGACGAGATTTTCAGGTCGAAAACGTGAAAATACCAGAACCCCCGAAAAAGTCTGTTTTTGGTACATGTTAAGAAAAACGCAAAAACACCACGTCTTTTGGAGGATTTCAGTTCTGAATGAGGTATTCGGATTCTTCAGCTCCTGTTGCACCTACTCAAGTGTATTTGAAAGTCCTCTGCACACTCACTGAAACATAGGAAAATCTAAGATTCGCATAGTGAACTTTTCCTACAGTTCGCATAGTGATCTATTCCTTGTAACTGTATCTCCTCCTAGAGTTTTCGTCCTAAAAGTTTCTGTCGCATCTCATTCGAACCGCCGTTCAAAGCTCTACAAAAGTATGTGTACACATTTTTTTTAAAAGTTTTTGTCAGTCAGAAAAAAGTTAAACGATACGGTCAGTAGAAAAAAACAGTATTTTCGATTTCTTCTTTTCCGATCAGATAACACTTGTTTCACTTTTCCAATTAAACTATAGGTTAAAAATGAAGCAGAATTTAACGGAGACTATTTAGGTATATTCAGGAAGTTTATTTCTAAAGTTCTGAACGCTTTCCACTTGAAAACCCGGTTTTTCAAGTAGTATAACATCAAAGAAAGACGGTATCTTTGATCTTAACATACATTGTGCCATACCAATTAGTGTAATCAGTTGGAAAACGATTGGGTATTGACACGGACAAAATCTCACCTCTTTACCGTTCTCACTCGTTCTTTATCAATTATGCCTCCTCCGGACCAACGCAAGAAACATTGTCAAACCGTTGGCTTCAATCCTACAGAAGAGAAAATGGAAGAAGGGGAAGTAGAGTCAAGTAGTTCTGAAGAAGAGACCTACACGCACGAAAAAGCAAGCTCAACGACTGCGAAAGAAGAAGAAGAAACTCTCGATACTAGTGCGACTGAGGCAACAGCCGATCCACTCGACAACCTCGATCTTCCTGCTATTGGCGAATTGTGTCAGGAGACGTGTGGCTAGCGAAATCTCTCAATCTTACTGTACAGTTTGATGCGGTACCTACGTGTTTCCTGGCGAGCTGCAGATGATGTCTTCAAGAACATCGGTGCTCTTCGTTGTCAGGCATCTCACAAATGGGCTAAACTCTTTCTCTCAGGCGATCTCGGCACGTTCACGGAAGAAAATCGAGGTGGCAAGCATTCGGACTCATTCTACGACATCTTTCCTGACATTGAACTCGAAGCTCGTGGCTTTACTGTGCAAGGTTGTTCTCGTAAAAACGTCAGTTTCACGTCACTAGAACTCGCTCAGTTTATCGATGCCAAGCACTACGAAGCGACAGGGGAACAAAAGACAACGGAGGAACTGGTTCGTCCAGAACAAAAAGTGAAAATCGTGGATTAAGGCGCCCACTTTTCACGTCTTTCCAAACAGCATTTCTAATCCGAAGGGGTTGATCAGAGAATGCTCAGGATGGAATAAGTCAGCCGCTTTTTATTTCTAATGGCATATATCTATCGTAGTGGCTGGATGATAAAGGGTGTCACAGATTATCTTCCTAGACTGTTTGTACATAGAAGATTATTTTGCATGGACCGAAGTATTTCTAAACATACTTGGTCTCAGAACGACTATTTCCGTATGTGTGATATACAGAAATATAGCGCAGAAAAAGAGCTTTCGAATGACATATGATAGTTCTATGAATTACGGGCAGAATTCCGATCTTTTCGCTCCTGATTTAGCAAAAGTGAAATTTCTCAGCAATGGAGAGGAATTTCAAAAGAACGAGTTATACTTTTGCAGTACGAATATAGGCCGATCGAATGGCGCAAGAATGAACGTTCTATCTTTCACCAATAAAACCTAGATAACTTCTTCCGACGAGGTATCTGCTTTCGAGATATCCTTGAAGATGTATTCTTTGTGCAATGACATTACAGATGAGAAGCATCAAAAACACATTTTCTAATTCAATTTTGAACACTGAATTAGAAAAAGCTGTTTGAGAGCTTCAGAATGAAATGGAGAACAAGTATTCAACTTTTTTCGAAATGGGAAAGTTTTTCAGATTTTAAGACCCTTCCCGTATTTTCAATTTTTCGACGCGCAAACGTGTATTGGTGATCAATTTCAAATTCTCTATTGAATCATATATAAAGAAGCTAAAAATAAAATAGTGCTTAATCGTTGGATTAAGCGCGCGTTACCTGTTGTGACGAAGTTTGAGATCTTCTGTGCGCAGCGCACTTAGTATATAGTTCTCTTGAACATATCATGACTCCATTCCACAGTCTCTCACACATATTGTTTTATCTATAAAAAGAGTTTTGGTAATCAATTGGAAAGCTATATCCATCATTTCTATACCCTCCTTTTTTTCTGTCGAGAAAATAGTTGATGACGGGTGCAGAATGTATGTTTTCACTACTAATAGATTTTAATCTTTATATGGATGCTCTTTCGGGTTTGTTTGCGTCTATTTTCTCAAGTATCAAACAAGGTACCGACTTCTTCTGTCATTGTCTAATATTTGAAACATACACGATAGAATGCTTCTCGCTCTCTCTGTCTGCTTTACTTGGATTATTTTGTTGATACTGACAAACCTTTTTAAACTGAGAATGAAGGCAGATGTCAAGAATCATGATGATAGATATGATTTTTTAAAAACTCATATTTCTCCCTCTTTGTTAATTATTATATTTCACTTCATTTTTTTACTTACCTTCTAAAT